TTCTTCTAGAGCCGGTTGGTTTCGTGAAACCAAAGTTTCCCACGGTGGATAAAATTCATTCTTTCGAAATACAAGTAGCGTTAAGTGCGACTGTACTGTGTCCGGCGCAAGCATACCCCGTTCCCACAATAAGGTACTAATTTTTATCATAATTTTAATTCTAACAGAACCGATAAGTAGTACTTTGCCGAAGGTCTCCTCCAAAGCTAAGTACGACGTTATAGACTATAAGTTGCGCTCCAGTTTAGCTCTGGTCTGTCCGGCCCAAGGGTTTCCGGTCCCGTACTTTAGGTTAGTAATTTTTTGTACTCGAGTTTAGAACCGATCGGTACTAGATCCCCGAAATTGGTGTCGCATGTCAAGTCGGTTTGGTTCGAGAACGAAGCTGGGGAAGATCTAGTTTTGCTCTGTCGAGGCCAAGGATTCCCTCCGCCTATATTCAGGTAGATGTTCCATGAACTTTAATTGTATCTTTGTTGAAAAGAGCCCGTCGGTAGTCGGAGACCCGCTCTGATGTCTGACATTAAGAGCATTACCGTAGAGAAACGTTCAGGACAAGGTGTTTCTCTGTTGTGCCAGGCTCAAGGGTTCCCCGCGCCGTCGTTCAGGTAATTTTTTTTATTTCCTTCAAAGTATTTTTGTCTTAATCTTAATTTATTTGGGGTCCATTTCGTTGCTTTTTTTTATTAGAGCCTATTGGAGCGAAACGACCTGTATTTTCGAGCGATAATCTGATTAACGCCTTTAATCGACTTGCTGGACAAGCAATGACGTTGCTCTGTTCTGCCCAGGGGTTACCAGTTCCCAGATTTAGGTAGGTTTCTGTGATTAATACTTTTTACGATTCTAGAACCCGTCGCTTCTAGAGCACCTACGTTTTCAAGCGATATAAAGCTCTTAGGGTACCAGAGGGAACAAAAGCAAAGTTTAAGCATGTTGTGTCCTGCGCAAGGCTACCCGTCACCTATATTTAGGTAAATTATAGTTTTTTTATGTTGTTTATTTTCGTTAGAACCCGTTGGATCCAAAGCGCCTAGTTTTTCGTCTGCCTCCAAAATATTCTCGTACGAAATCCAAGAGAGTAAAGGATTCGTACTCCTATGCCCAGCTCAGGCTTTGCCCGTCCCTAAATTTAGGTAATTTATTGTCTTATTTAGAGCCCATCGGTTACAAGGCGCCGTCATTTTCCAATGATGCTACAAGCACGGCTTACACTCGTAGCTTAGGGCAAGGGTTCGGTTTGTTGTGTTTGGCTCAGGCGTACCCTTCACCATATTTTAGGTAGGTACCATCGTAGTTTATTAAAACGATTTTTATATTAGAACCAGTCGGATATACTCCACCTCGGCTTCCTCCAAAATCTAAATTAGACGCTGTTTCTGGAAAGGCCGATCAGGATTTGGTATTGCCTTGTGACGCACAAGCTAGCCCTCTCCCAAAATTCAGGTTAGTCCCCTGTTAATTCATTTTTTCTTATGTAGAACCGGTGGGGTCTAAAGCACCGGCGTTTTCGTTGGAATCCAAAATTTTCTCGATCGAAAGGTCTATGGGGAAGAATTTTGCGCTTCTCTGCCCGGCTCAAGCCTATCCAGCACCGATTTTCAAGTAAGACTTTTATTAAACTCACGAAAATAAACCCGTTCATACATTCAGGCTAAATTCGTTTCTACACTGTCTTGCGCTTTTATATTTAGAACCTATCGGATATAGAATTCCGGCTTTCTCGTCGGATTCTAAGAGTTCTACGTTTGTGAGGGAAGCGGGAAGTAGTTTTGCCCTCCTGTGCGAAGCTCAAGCGTCTCCTACTCCAATATTTAGGTACGGTATTTGTCTGTATGTAGTGTATAACTTTGAATGGGGGTCATATTTATACGGAGGCTACCTCTGACCTTTGCACGTACATATAAGTTCATAATTTTTGTTTCACTCCACTGGTGTAATCCACAAACATGCCTAATTGACAGCTGCGATATGCACTGTTGTCAAATCTTAATGTTTCTTGATGCATCATGCACTGTTGTCAAATCTCATGTTTCTTGTATCATATAAAACAATGAGGGCACACAAACACACCATAGCGTAATTAAATACTGAAATAAATAACTTACATAGATTGTACATGTCACTAAATACCATTAAACTCAATAGAATAACACTGCACTATACAATTCCTATTTCGATTCCAGTAAAAACTAATACTTCACACAAAACTAAAATAAATATTATAAAATTGCATATTCGTTCATTTTTGTTTGGATAAATTATTGATGGCCAAGTGGATCGATGTTATGTAATGCATTTAGACTGGGTTAGTGTCGGAGATCATTAATTCTAACATTCGTAAACTAAACACAGTGCTTCAAAAAAATTGTCTCTCCGTTAATTTTACATAGTTGGTTTAAAAAGCTAGCAACAGATGACACTGATAAGCATGTATATACACTCAAATTTGGGAGTTGTCCAGTGACAGCATAGACAAGAATTTAAGTGCAGTTTAAAAAATGAGTTATAACTCGACATTTTATTATGCTTAAAAAAAAAATAACTTTTCGTCAGTATTCTGAAGAATTCGTAGTATTACCCCTAAAAATTAAACCCCCACTTAAAGTTACACCCTGCATTGAGGTTAACTTAACTAGAAACTATTACGATTCATGAAACTTTTCAAATATAAGTTATAAAAACCTGTACCCATTTTTGCTCCTGGGGAAGGTAAAAATTAAATGAACGTTTATTTAGAACCTGTCGGAACCAAAGCACCCGCCTTCTCTTCCGATTCTAAGGGTTTTATTTTCGAAAAGGCAAAAGGAAGAAATATCGTGTTACTTTGCCCCGCTCAAGCTTTTCCCGCTCCATTTTTTAGGTATGCTATTAAATTATTCTGTGCATGGTTTAGTAATTATAGAGTTTATTCGAAAAATTTAACATCCACTTGAAAATAAATCTTCAATTTGGTGTGACTCATTTTTCCAATCCTGCCCACGTACAGGTAAATCCAACTCTTCCTGTTTGGTTTTTGTTAGAATTTGTTAAATAATTTTTAGAACCCGTAACCGGAGTAGCTCCCAAGGTAAAAGATATAGACGTTGGCAGTTTAAAAAAGGAAGTGCCGACGGGTTTAGTGGTTCCCCTTACTTGTACCATTCAAGGATTCCCTACGCCAATCTTCAGGTATTTCGTTTGTGTTTAAAATATAACGTTAATAATAATCGATTATTATAGAACCTACAGGGAAAATTTCTCCTAAAGTTCCCGGTCAAAAGTATGAGGGTGGAAAAATTTATATATACCCCGTTGCGACCATCGCCGTTCTAACTTGTGAAGTAGTTGGTTACCCAGTCCCCGTATTTAGGTAATTCATTGTGTAACGTAGCGTCTTTACGAATTTTCAGAGCCCACCAATAATATAGCTCCGAAGGTGGTAGATAACAAAGTACGTTTTACTCTATTAGTCGCTGATCATGGGGAAGATATTTTTGTGACTTGCCCTATCGTAGCCTACCCTGTCCCGTTGTTCAGGTACGTTTTTGTCTTGTTCATTTATTTTTAGGAACTTTTGCTTTTCAGAACCTACCAATAACGTTCCCCCGAAAAAAATTGGGTCTGAGTTTGGGGGTTGGAGGGTGGTAAATGTAAACGGAGGCAGCGCGGCTTATTTGACCTGCCAGGTCACCGGATTTCCAGTCCCGATATTTATGTAAGTTTGTGCTTTCATCGTATTTGCGTCCCTTTTCACCAATCTATCTCTCGATTTTTGATGTCTACCCCAACACAGAAAATATGAGTCGTACCTTGTCGGTTCGTTAGAAATTTCCATTTTTGTGTTACAGTTATCTAATTTCCTTTGATATCTTTATAAGATTTTCCGTAAGTCGTGTCAAATCAGGTTAAAACCGTTTTTATTGTAGAACCAACTAATAACGTCGTACCTAAGAAGGACGGAGAGAAATTCGAGGGCTGGAAAGTACTACTTGTTTCTCGAAATAAAACAGCATGGTTAACATGTCAAGTTACTGGTTACCCCGTCCCACGTTACTTGTAAGTACCATATTGTTTCCTATTTCATGTAGAAACCTGTTATTCCTAGATCCGGGTTACTTTCATCGTGTAATAATTGTTTTAGAGCCCACTAATAACGTTTCACCTAAAAAAGACGGCAAGAAGTTCGAAGGTTGGGAGGTTCTTCTCGTACCTCAAAGTCGAGTGGCTTGGTTGACTTGTCAAGTGACTGGTTATCCTGTACCACGTTACTTGTAAGTCTTTCATTTTTTTTTTTAGTACTGCTTATCCGTAGTTTAATTTTGCCCAGAAAAATCCCAACATTTTGAAAACGTTCTCTCAGAATGTCATTTTTATTATAGAACCCACAAACAATGTCCCTCCGAAAAAAGACGGGGAAAAATTCACCGGTTGGAAAGACGTTATTATATCTCGGAATAAAACCGCTTGGTTGACTTGTCAAGTAACTGGTTACCCAGTTCCCGTTTATATGTAAGTTATTATCGAAAAGTTATCGTTGTCGGCTTTGGTTTACATCTTAAAATATAACCTATAGGTCTCTGTCACATTTTTGTGTAATATCCGCAACTACTATAAGGTAAGTTATAAACCAGGCAAAATCTCTGGTCCCGGATCTCACAAATCATATTTTAGGAAATCTGAAAGTTATTACATTTTATAGTAACAGAATCAAATGAGTTACTAGTTCGCACATTTTATTAGTGATCCAGTTCATGTTTGGAATTCCTAACCTAACTTAACCAAATCTAACCTAATAAAAGTAAAACATTCTTGATTAGGAAAGCAGTAGTGTGTTTAAAAATCATTTTTGGTGTTTCAATGTAGCCCAAAATGTTTTAATAACCCGTGTTGGTACTAAACGATACCAAACACTAATCCCAGTGCCTGGACTGGAGACTTTGTCTGTAAACTATGTGTTTGTAGAATAAATATTAAATATTTACTGCAATGACGTAACCCTAATAGGTGGTTCTTTTCAGAACCTACAAATAATTTGCCTCCCAAACTCGTCGGCGAAAAAACTTTGGGAAGGATTCTTACCTTCGGGCAACGCACTGACGTTGTAGTTTTATGTCCCATAGTTGGCTTTCCCTATCCTGTTTTCAAGTAAGTTTTTTTTTGTCCGTTCTACTTTATTAATAGTATGTCGATTTAGAACCTACCAATAACGTACCTCCGAAATCTTCTGCGAGGAAGTATGGTGGGAGTGTCGTTCAGGAAGTTGCGATTCAGAGCGACATCATCATGCCCTGTGAAGTTTCAGGTTATCCTGTTCCAAGATTCAGGTACTTTTTTGTGATAATAATTATGTTGAAGTCGAGCGTGTAGGTGTCTGACGAGATTGTTTTGTGTATCCTCAGAACCGACAAATAACGTACCGCCCAAATCATCTTCTGAGAAATATGGGAACATTTTCTTACGGTGTGCTTTAAAAAAAGTTGCCATTATGACGTGTGAAGTTTCTGGATACCCGCCTCCAAAATTCAGGTACTTATTAATTTGTGTTTTTGTATAGAACCTACAAATAATATACCCCCGAAAGTTTCTGGTAAGAAAATCGATGGGAGCATAGTTCAGGATGTCGCCTCGCATAAAGATACTGTTATTACTTGCGACGTTTCCGGGTACCCCGTTCCAAAATACAGGTAATGCAATTTGTTTATTTTTTATTATTTACTAGAACCCACCGGACAAACGGCTCCTAAAGTCTCAGGCGATGGTCTGAATAAACAAACCGGAGTTAGTGGTTCTACGATAGGTCTTATATGCGATGCTCAAGCTTTCCCTGGACCAAAAAAAAGGTACTCGCTTTTTTTAGTTTCATCCAAGTATTTCTCCCTTGAGAGAGGCAAGGGTTCAAAATTAAAGGTATGTCGGTTTATAGGTTACTTTTATTTATAGAACCTACTGGATCTGTTGGACCCCGATTGACAACTAGGACCATAGATATAAGATTGGTAAAATCCGGTGACTCTGCAGTGGCTCTTTGTCCTGCACAATCCTTCCCCGTTCCATTTTTTAGGTAAAAAAAAATTGGGAACCTTTCCTCAAAAACCCCGTTTTAATGAAGAAATATAACGTTTCGTTGTTCCTCGAATGTGAAAAAAGTTATATTTCTTTCAAGTTTTCAATACTATTAAGTGCAATATTTTTAATATTTGGAAATATAAAATTGCTTTATTTATTGTTACAGATGGTACAAGTTCATTGAAGGAACAAACAGAAAGCAAGCTGTCACTCTAAACGATAGAGTCAAACAAGTAGCTGGAACTCTCATCATCCGCGAGGCCCACGTCGAGGATTCTGGAAAATACCTTTGCGTCGTTAACAATTCCGTTGGAGGAGAGAGTGTCGAAACCGTTCTTACCGTAACGGCCCCACTAAAAGCGAAAATCGACCCACCAGTCCAGACAATCGATTTCGGAAGACCAGCCGTTTTCACTTGCAAATTCGAAGGTAAACGATTCCGTTAACGTACTCTTTACAACTCAACATATAAATTTTTACAGGAAATCCAATAAAAACCATCACCTGGATGAAGGACGGAAACCAAATCGACCATACCGATGCCATTTTACGCATCGAAGCCGTACGGAAAGAGGACAAAGGCATGTACCAGTGCTTCATCAGAAACGACCAGGAAAGCGCCGAGGGCACCGCCGAGTTGAAGCTCGGAGGAAGATTCGAACCACCCCAGATCCGCCACGCTTTCAACGAAGAAACCGTACAACCCGGCAATTCAGTTTTCATGAAGTGTATTGCATCCGGTAATCCCACGCCCGAAATCACATGGGAATTATACGGAAGGAGGTTATCCAACAACGACGTTTACCAGATCGGTCAGTATGTTACTGTGAATGGTGACGTGGTGTCGCATTTAAATATCACCGCGATTCACACAAACGACGGTGGTTTATACAGATGTGTCGCGAGTAGCAAAGTGGGTTCTGCCGATCATTCCGCTAGAATTAATGTGTACGGTTTGCCGTTCGTGAGGTCTATGGAGAAACAAGCCATCGTCGCCGGAGGCACTCTTATAGTACACTGCCCCTTTGCTGGTCATCCCGTCGAGGCTGTGGTCTGGGAAAGAGGTGAGTCCGTTAATATGCCAATATTCATAACAATTCAATGTGGGGTGTACACAATTTTACTTGTATACAAAAAACTGACACTTAATTTTTGTGGTCTAATTCTTAAATAAATGCAAAAAATATGGAAACTACAATTTCTAATAAAAAATCGAACAAGTTTGAAACTATTACGATCTGAAAATTATTACCACACACAGACCTACTAATAGGTCTCTGTGTCAGTAGGTACAAAGTAACACTTTGTGTAAGTAGGCGTTAAGTGGCAACGACATTTATTTTATAGGTTATATCTCACTCATGCTTTCATTTGAATTTTTTGAAAATAAAACTGTTAAAGAAAACCAGTTCTATAGTCCTTAAAACTCTTTTATAGATGGCAGGTTGTTACCCATCAACAGGAAACAGAAGGTATTCCCCAACGGAACTCTTATTATTGAAAACGTCGAAAGGGCATCCGACCAAGCCACTTATGTTTGCGTGGCGAAAAACTCTCAGGGATACAGTGCCAGAGGATCACTAGAAGTACAAGTTATGGGTAAGTCGAGATTTCTCTTTTTTTTCAACTTCCGTTGCCACAGAATGTATCCAAAATGAAGACGAGTGTTAAATTCAAACAGAAATCGTAACTTTTTCAAATAAATATGTGAATGGATATCAAAGAATTGTTATGAAATAATTGAAAGTAATGAAAATTAAAGTTGAACTATATCAGACTGATCAATATTCAACTAATAGTTATAAAACTATTTAATTCCATTAGGTTACACAGTAGGTCAAATGAACCGAATTATTTATTCTTCATAACTTCTTTTTCATTAAACACAAGCTAATTAATTTGGTTCCATGGGGTTACGCATTAGGTCAAATGAACTAAAGGATTAATTCTTAACTTTTTTTTATTAAATACAATAGATTGACAAAATGTAATTAATTTAGTTCCACGGGGTTTCACAGTAGGTCAAATGAACCGAATGATGTATTCTTCACAACTCTTCTTTTTCATTAAACAAGCTAATTAATTTCGTTCCATGAGGTTGCGCAGTAGGTCAAATGAACTAAAGGATCAATTCTTAACTTTTTTTTATTAAATACAACAGATTGACAAAAGATAATTAATTTAGTAAATACTCAACATATTTTTGTATAAAAATATTCGCAAACATACATTCTGTGGCAACTTTTCTCTCAATGAAACCGTCTGTACAATTTTACTAGATGATTACGAAACATTTCTGTTTGTTTTACAAATATCTATTTATTTCAGCGTGTAATTGAACCTTTTCGAAGGTAAGACTCGTTTTTGTGTGTTGTACAGTTATGCTTTCTTACAGCCAGAAATCACCATTTTAACAGATCACGTTTTGTTTTTACCAGTTCATCGTAGCTGCGGGAGAGGCCCATGTGTTATTGTTATTTTTTTTATTTCCATCATTGCTCTTTGCAGTGGCACCTGTCGTAAGTCCTTTTCAGTTCGACGGTCCGTTAAACGCCGGCGATAGCGCGATCTTGACCTGTTACGTGCCCCAAGGCGACAGGCCCCTTAAGATAAAATGGTACCACAACGGGCGTCACATAACGCACCACTCGAAGGGCATCTCCACCTCGGCCTTTGGGAGTCAGGCGAGCATTCTTAACATAAATCACGTCGAGCCGCACCACAGAGGGGAATATTCTTGCTTGGTCACGAACGCAGCTGGGAAATCGAAATTTACTGCTTTCCTTAACGTCAACGGTAGATCCATGTCATGTTAAGCCGTTTATTGTTTTAATTTTACCTCTTCTGACCTTACCCCGTACCTGATGCTTTTGTTTTTTCAGGAAGTGAGGTTATGTTGAATGTGAATGTTCACGATGGACGTATCGCAACGATATATAGGTATTTTTGTGTAGAAATATTGCACTAATCCCATCCTTCACCTAGCTTGTATCGCCGTCACGGTGCACTTAAATTCTGATTTGGATTTTAGTTGCCCCTCAGATTTTGCGCTTTGACTTTGGGGAGAAGTCCGTGGACGAAGACGAGACGGTTTCTGTGCAATGCACGATATCCAAGGGCGATAATCCTCTTAATATTACTTGGGATCTGAACGGTAAACCCATCGCCGACTATCCAGGGATTACTCTTAATACTATGAAAAGGGTCAGTCTTCTGACGATAGAATCGGTGCGTGCTGAACACGCCGGGAGGTATACGTGTTTGGCTTCGAATTCTGCTGGAACCTCCACTTACTCGGCTCATTTAAATATCAACGGTAGAGATCATTGAGTACTTTGCGCTTTTTTTACTAATACCAACCCTTTACCTTTCACCTTTGAATATCCTTCAACTTCCACTTCATTTTTTGCTGCAACAATTACAAAATTTCTTCTAGGAATTCATTTTGTGACTTAAGAAAACAGTTCCGCTCGAATATTTTGTCATTTTTTTTAAATTATTTTGTTAATTTAACACTAATGTAATTTTCGTAAAGTACCACCCCAAATCCACCCCTTCGATTTCGGTGACGAGTCTGCAAACTCGGGAGATATGACGCTTGTAACTTGTGCTGTAATCAAGGGCGACCTCCCAGTTGAAATTTCCTGGATGTTAAATGGAAAGAATATTGAAACTGTACACGGAATTAATACAATGAAAACCAAAGACCGAGTAAACCAACTAAGTATTGACGACGTTCAGGCACATCACTCGGGAGAATACACATGCATTGCCAGGAACAAAGCAGGAAATGCTACGTATTCATCATATTTACGGGTTAACGGTACTTTTATTTTTATGTAATTGCGTTTTTTTGCAAGGTTTGCAGCTTGTATCCCGTTTCTGATTTCAGTTCCTCCCCAAATATCCCACTTCGATTTTGGAGGTGAAGCAATAAATGCGGGCGATATAGCCACCACTCAATGCACTGTCGTTAAAGGAGATTTTCCGTTAAATATAACATGGGTCTTCAACAACAAACCAGTCAGTTTATTGCACGGAGTCACAGTAGGTCAAATGAACCGAAGGATCAGTTCCTTAAGCATCGATTCTGTAGGTGCGGAACATTCCGGGGAATTTACTTGCATCGCAAGAAATTCTGCTGGAGAAGCGAGATATTCATCTACATTAAATATTAACGGTACTTTTACGTAATTAAGTATGAACTTGTTTGTGTTATTATGTCTTCTCATTTATTCCTGGATTTTTCCAGTACCTCCCCAAATTCACCCTTTTAGTTTCGGAGACGAAGCGATTAATTCCGGGGATCTGGTAACTGTAAGTTGTGCCGTTTCTAAGGGGGATTTTCCAATAAAAATTGTGTGGACCTTAAACGGTCGAAGCATTAACTCGGTTGACGGCATTGCCATTTCCAATTCAAACAAAAGAGTCGGCCAGCTAACCATCGAATCGGCGCAAGCACATCACTCGGGAGAATACGTCTGTTTGGCGGAGAATTGGGCTGGAACAACGAAACAATCAGCTTATTTGAACGTTAACGGTATTTACACCCTTAATAATCCAATTCTCTTGCATCCTTCATCGTAAACCTTTTAATTTTTTGGTTTGTGTTATATTTCCGTCAAATATTTGTTTCTCTGCAAATTTAGTGCAATAGAAAATCGTAGTAGTAGAAGAGGATGGCATGCAGTTGAAATTGCTCTTCTAATTTCAGTTCCTCCCCAAATATCCCACTTCAATTTCGGCGATGAAACTATTAATGCTGGAGACATAGCTACTACCCAATGCACCGTTATTAAGGGGGATTTTCCTCTAAATATAACGTGGGTGTTCAATAATAAGCCGATTACTTTGTTGCATGGCGTTAGTGTGAGTCAAACAAACCGAAGGATTACCTCCTTAAATATCGATTCTGTAGATGCAGAACATTCTGGCGAATTTACTTGTATTGCAAGGAATGCAGCAGGAGAAGCAAGATATTCGTCTGTTTTAAATATTAACGGTATTACGTAGACAAAAACTTATTTGTGTGTCTTGCTACTCTTCCTTATTTATTCCCGATTTTTCCAGTACCTCCCCAGATCCACCCTTTTAGCTTTGGGGATGAAGCGATTAATTCAGGAGACCTAGCAACTGTAGTGTGTGCCGTTTTTAAGGGGGATTTCCCAATAAAAATTTTGTGGTCCTTGAACGGTGCAAGCCTAAACACCATGGAGGGGATCGTTATTTCTAATACAAACAAAAGAGTCAGCCAGCTGACGATCGAATCAGCGCAGTCATACCATTCTGGAGAATATGTCTGCTTGGCAGAGAATTCTGCAGGAATAACGAAACAATCAGCTTATTTGAACGTTAACGGTATTTATACACTTAAGTGGCTCATTTTTGTACCCTTGCTTATGTAACCCCTTCATCGATAGTCCCTACTAACAATATCATCCATAAAATACTCGTTTATTTCAGTTGCTCCACAAATTAGCCCTTTCGACTTGGGCAATGACGAAATCAATGTAGGAGATTCTACTTCCTTGACGTGTTCTATACATAAAGGAGATTTGCCTATAAATATTTCCTGGTTACATAATAACATCAGTATCGGTTATATGGATGGCGTTTTGATCTCTAAAACGAGTAAAAAAATCAGTACAGTTGGCATAGACGCAATACAAGAGCAGCATGCTGGTCTTTATACTTGTGTGGCGAAAAATAAAGCCGGCACCAGTAGATATTCAACTTATCTACATGTTAATGGTACATGAGAATCAGTTTTATTATTTTTTTAATTAACAATCGCATTTTGGTGTATCTGTTGACTCACTTTTTGGTTTAAGTAATTTTTCTTCATTCTACCCTATTTTCCCCTAAATCAGTTTATTTAAGCGTCGCTTATGAAACCTCTTCATCGATAGTCCCTACCGAGGTCCCTACTAACAATATTTTCCATAAAATATTCGTTTATTTTAGTTGCCCCACAAATTACCCCATTTGATTTTGGTGAAGATGAAATCAATGTGGGAGATTCGACTTCCTTAATGTGTTCCATACATAAAGGAGATTTGCCCATAAATATATCTTGGTTACATAATAACATCAGCATAGGTTATATGGATGGTGTTTTAATATCTAAAACGGGCAAAAAAATCAGTACAGTTGCCATAGATTCGATACAAGAGGGGCATGCTGGAATGTATACGTGTGTGGCGGAAAATAAAGCTGGCACAAATAGATATTCAACTCATTTACATGTCAACGGTACATGTGAATCAGTTTTATTATTTTTTTTTAATTAAAAATCGCATTTTTTCTCATGTAGGAGTATCTGTAGACTCGCTTTTTGGTTTTAGTTAATTTTCTTCACTTTCCACCCTAATTTCCCTCTAAAATTTCCACCACACGAACAATTTTTAAGTCAAACGATTCGCAGGATTAGTTTGTTAAATATCATTTCGGTAGAATCAGGACACTCTGGCAAAGGTACTTGTATCGCAAGAAACACAACAGGAAAAGCGAGATATTCATTTGTTTTAAATATTAACGGTATTTACATATTCAAGCGTCTCATTTTTATATCCCTGCTTACGTAACCTCTTCATCGATGG